AGGTCTTTGGGATGCAGCAAAAGTGACTCTAAGCAGGAAGTTTATAGAAATGCAAGCCTATCTCAAGAAGCAAGAAAAATCTCAAATAAACAACCTAACCTTCCATGTAAAGGAGCTAGAAAAAGAACAAATAAAACACAAATCCAGTAAAAGGAAGGAAATAATAAAGATTAGAGCAGAAATAAATGATGCAGAAATTTAAAAAGCAATAGAACAGATCAATGAAACCAGGAACTGGTTCTTTGAAAAGATCAACAAAATTATGTAAACCTCTAGCAAGACTCAAAAGGGAGAGAAAGAGAGAGAGAGAGGACCCAAATAAACAAAATTGGTAATAAAAGGGGAGACATAACAACCAGCACACAAAAATACAAACAATTGTAACAGAATATCATGAAAACCTATACGCCAACAATTTGGACAACTAGGAAGAGATGAATGAATTCCTAGGAACATATAACCTACCAAAACTAAAGCAGAAGGAAATAGAAACTTTGAACAGACCAATTACCAGCAATGAAATTGAATCAGTAATAAAAAAAAAAATCCCAACAAACAAAAGTTCAGGACCAGATGACTTCACAGGTGAATTCCACCAAACATTTAAAGAAGAGTTAATACCCATTTTTCTTAAACTATTCCAAAAAAATACAAGAAGAAGGAAAGCTGCCAAATTCATTCAATGAGGACAGCATTACTCTGATACCAAAACCAGATAAGACATCACAAAAAAAAAAAAGAGAGAGAGAGAGAGAAAGAGAGAGAACTACAGCCCGATATTTCTCATGAATATAGATGGAAAAATCCTCAACAAAATATTAGCAAACTTAATCCCACAATATATTTTAAAAAGAATCATATATCACTGTCATGTGAGATTTATTCTCAGGATGCACGGTAGTTTAATATTTGCAAAGCAATCAATGTGATATGTCACATCAATAAGGGAAAGGATAAAAACCATATTGTCACTTCAATAGATACAGAATAAAAGTGATGAGAATGGGCATCCTTGTTTTGTTCCTGACCTTAGGGGTAAAGCTCTCAATTTTTCACCATTAAGTATGATGTTGGCTGTGGGTTTTTTATATAAGTCCTTTATTATGTTGAGATATGTTCACCTCATACCTGTCAGAATGATTAAAATAAAAAACACAAAAACAACAAGTGTTAGGGATGATGTGGAGAAAAAAGAATCCTATTGCACTGTTAATGGAAATGCAAATTGGTACAGCCAGTGTGGAAAACAGTAGGGATTTTCCTCAAAAAATTAAAAATGGAACTACCTAATCACACTAGTGGGTGTTTACCCTAAGAATACAAAAATACTAATTTGAAGGGATATATGCACCCCTATGATTATTGCAGCATTATATTATTATAATTTATAATATTATAATATTATTTATAATAGCCAAACTATGGAAGCAGCCCAAGTGTCCACCTATAGATAAATGGATAAAGAAGATATGTTATATATACACAATGGAACATTGTTCAGCCGTAAAAAAGGAATGAAACCTTTCCATTTGCAACAACATGGATAGTGATAGAGAGAATACTGCTGAGTGAAGCAAGTCAGAGAAGACAAATACCATATGATCTCACTCCTATATGGAATTTAGGAAACAAAACAAATGAGCAAAGAGAAAGAGAGAGAGAGACAAATCAAGAAACAGACCCTAGAGAATAAACTGATGGCTACCAAAGGGGAGGTCAGTGAGTGGATGGGGGAAGTAGGGGATAGGGATTAAAGAGTACACTTATTATGATGAAAAAATAAAATAAAATACATGAAAAAAAGAAAAAGTATATATACAATTTATTGGCACACAAGAAAATAAATATTTTGTATCAAAAAGCCAGAGTTTTAGAGGGGCAAACATTGAAAAGATTGCGATTATCCTGTCCCCAAATTAGTTTAAAACACAGCTTTATTATTTGAAGCAGTATAGAATGTACATGCATGTTTAAATTAAAATAATTTTTTCAAAATTTTCTGATTATAAACTTTCAGGTATGTCAATGAAGCTGGAGGTTTTTGAGATTGTCCTTTAGGCTTGGTTGGTTGTTCACAGGCTTTGTTGCTGTCCAAAATTAGCTTGCTTTGCTAGTGCCCTGATGCTAATCAATGTATACATATTTAAACCTTGCAACAATAGTGTGAGGTAAGAATTATGAGCCTCGGAATATAGATAACTGATATTACAGTGTAGGAGAGTTAATAAATTTTCCAAATTTCTACCTAATAAGTGGCAGTACTAGTATTCAAACTGAGACTCTGTGGGTAATGTTAAGTTCAGTGGCCAGTCAACAGGCTTTGACTGTCTTAATTTAAAGGCCAATGGTGCACCCTCAGGCTCTGGCCTGCATGTGACATTATTTTGCACTTCTGTACTGAGCTCCAGGAAAAATTTCTAGTCTCATTGGTCACCCTTGTTCTACTTGTCCACTCTATTTCTTGCCTTTGCTGGACTGTGCCTTCACTCACATCTGATTTGGAACTTAACATTAACGATCTATTTTGTACAATTAAAATAAGACGGTGTACTGCCAGGTCCCGAGAAAATGGTTTCACCCAGCAATTCAGGGGTCTAACTTTGTCTCACACAATCTTTTAATTAATGTGTGTGTTTTTAAGGCCTTAACCTTCATTCTGAACCTTCAGAGGAAACCAGGGCCTCAAAATCCTGACACATTCCAGATTTCTGAAGAGGAAATCCCTTTACTTGACCAAAAGCAGTTAAATTCAGGACCCTCCCCACCCTTAAGTGACCCTGTAAGTCATATAACAATGAATCCATCTTTCCATTCTCTCGTTTGGTTTCTTTTCTCCTATTCTCTTTGTCCTTGTGGCTTTTTGCCACCACTATCACTGTCACTCTTTGATTCTCTTTCAGCAGGCTTCTAGGAATGGATGTGGGAATTCAATTTGTCATATTTTACTGGGAGTCTAAAATCAATCTTCCTTTCTTCCTCCCTTCCTTTCTTCTTTCCTTCCTTGTTTCTTACTCTCTCTGTCTCTTTCTAAATAGGAAGATGATCAGCTTGGTGCAAAAACCATGGATTTCGGAGTCAGATTCCCTACCTTATTCAAGTCATGGCACACAGAGAAAATGGTACTATTTGTAGAGTATGCTGGGGTAAGGGACAGGAGTGGAGTGAACTGACCCTGAGTGAGCCCTCTACCTTGAAGCAAGGTGATCAGTATCATTGGCACACAGGTATTTAAAGGTATAGGGGCTGCCAAGCTCTGAGTATCCACAAAGTCTGAATCCTGTTTTGGTGGGTAGCTGCGTTAACATATCTCTAAGCTCCATTTGTAAACAGGCGGATTATAGTTTCCACTTCTTTGTACTTTCTTGAAAATCACAGGAACTATTTGAAAAAATAGCACCACGAATATACAAAGTGCCAATAAACTGTCTGCTTCCCTCCTTCAAATATCCCCCAACAAACCACATCTTGCTTGCAGTGTAGGTACTCACATATTTGTTAAACAAATGACTGACGTGGACATCATTATAATACAATAGGGGATAATTTGGAGTCAAGTAATCTTAAATACCAGGAAGCAACATTAAGCAACTGGACAGAGGAAGGCAGGGGGCTAGAGGTTAAATGGCTTTATCTCTGAGTTCAGGAGGTAGTGAATGTCTCTTTCTACTGGAAGTCCTTCGATCTGAAACCGTTGGAAGGAATAAAGTAGGCTGCCGGTGTCAGGAAAAAGTCTAGTGCCTTGTTTCTCAGTTGAAAGGGAATAGCTGAAGTGGTTATTTAAATTTTCTTTGTTTTGCATTAGATTTGTTTCTGTTGTTGTTGTTTTTTAACCTTTATCTCCACATTATTCTTTTCCTGCAGAGTAATTTGATTTTACAGCTTCTCAAGTTTACAATCCTTCCTAGGGTCAGGGGCATTCCAGTATTTCTCACCTCAGATTTGGGAATATACATCTTTACATTTAAAACCGCAAATGCTAAGGCAAACAGGATTGCATCTGAATTTCACTTGGGTGTAAAACACAGTGAAGGAGCTTGTAGAACGTTAAACCCAGATAGTAATTTATACTGCCTTTGTCTTTTAATTTTCCCCAGCTTCCTCTTCGTCTTTTGTTTGATTCACTTTACCTTTATTTAACTCCTCCTTTTGGCTCCCCCCCCACACCCATCAAGAAAAGGGCCCCAGAAACTCCGAAGAGGCAAATTGGAAGGGAAGAAATGCACCAAGTCCGTTCTGCTTTCCACCTCTAGATCTGTGGGAGGAGTCCGGGCAGCTGGTGGATCCTCATCCCGGCGGGGTTGTCTTCCCCAGGAGCAGGTCAATCACTCTTCCCCACTTTTGCGCAACCTTTCTCCACCCCTCCTACCCTCTCAGCTGTCATGAAATCCTGGAGCAGTCCTTGCCCTGGAGCCGCTGGTGTTTTTAATAACCAGGGACTGAGCTGAGTCTAAAAAAACAAAGGAAACGAACACTGCAGGGGTCTTGCCGCAGAGCCCAGGGGTTTTGTTTTCCGCCGCAGGCCAGAGGCGATGCGCCTCCACCAGCTGGCTCCGCACAGATGGAGCCACAGAAGCTGCGCACAACCTGTTTGAAAACTCGTTTGTTGAGAGCGAGATGGGTGCGTCGGCCTCCCCCGAGGTCCACTGGCGTGTCGGAGAAGGGAGGACGTTCTGCAGCAACAGGGCGCTTTTCGTGGGGGAGCCGCGCGGCTGGGGACGCACGCAGGGGCTGGATTTCTCCCGCTGTGGCCCCGGCCCCTACCCCCCCCCAGCCCCCACTCCAGCCTGTTGCTTCTCCCGCCGCTCCAGGTCGGCTTTTCCCGGCAGCCCTAGTGTGCCTTCCAAACTCCAGGGCCCCGGGCTCCCGTCGGGACCTGCCTCCGCCTCCCGCCCGCTGCCCGCCGCCTTCTGGAAGTCGGGAGCGCCCCGGCTGTCGCCTGAGGAGTGCACTCCGGGACCTCGGGCTGCACAGCTTGCGAGGGGGAGGGCGGCCCAGCCGGTGGCGATGAAGCCGTCCTGGCTGCAGTGTCGCAAAGTCACCGGCGCCGGGGGACTCGGGGGATCCCTGCCTGGGTCCTCTCCGGCCCGGGGAGCCGGCCTGGCCCGCAGGGCGTACGTGGCCCCCGGCCCGCGGGGCGCTCTCGGGGGCAGGGGCTGCCGAGCGCTGTCGTCGGCCGGTGGTGGCGGCGAGTACAAGACCCACTTCGCGGCCTCGGTGGCCGACCCCGAGCGGTTCTGGGGCAAAGCGGCCGAGCAGATCAGCTGGTACAAGCCCTGGACCAAAACGCTGGAGAACAGATACCCGCCTTCCACGAGTTGGTGAGTGACTCCTTCGCCAAGCCAGATCTCTCATGACTTTTGGGCGACTGGGCTCAACGTCCCTTTCACGGGGAACCTGGCATTGTATTAGGAAAGAAATTCAAGACTGGAGATGTGCTCAGATCTTTCGATTTGTGTTTAATTTAAATTTTATGGTCAACTCTCCTGCCTTCTCTTGAGGGATTGGGTTACTCATTATAAGGCCAGTTTCCAGTGGCCCAGAGATTTACCAGTATGGCAGGGCTGTACTTGGCGCTGGGGATGTTACACGCACTAAAGCAGGGGTCTGTCTCCGGGGACAGCACTGTCTAGTATGGGAGACAGCCACGGAAACAAATGCAAACAGTGTGATAAACTAGGGAGGTATTACCAAGTATCCACACACAGCGGGGAGGCAGAGAATTGAGAAAGACTTCAGTAAAATCACACCTAAGTAGGGTTTGGGAGGATGGGTATATCTTCGCAAGATGAGAAGGATCTAATTATTAAAGACCAGGGATTGGAAAACAGGCTGAAATTTGACTGTTACTATGGTAAATAATTGTGTTGGCTGGAGAGGTGGGAGAAGGGGCTGGTGAACCAGCTTGGATTAGATCCATAGCGCTGTTGTCTGTATGAAGGTGCAATATGAGGTACTCCAAAATTATGCACATATAGGCCAGGTGGTGCTAGAAATCATGGTAGGAGTACTTTTTTTTTTTGGTCTAGAGTTGCAATTTTAAGTAGCTATAAACATTATTTTTACATTACAACAAAACAGATACATTGTAGAATAAATGCCAGACTTGTCAGAATGGTAAGGGTGAGGCGCACAGTCTATGAAAACTCAGAGTTGTGGGTGCCGGTTCAGCTAGGTGCCTAGTAAGAATGTGGTTGCTCTCATCTGCCAGCCATTAGGGAGAGATGTTTCCTGTAAAAGTTTGAGAAACACTGCAGTGGGGTTCCCCAAGTTCCCAAATTCCCAGCAGTGAGGCAGGGCAATGACACAGTCAGGTTTGCATTTGATAAATGTCTCCTTGTTGAAATGGAGAAAGGCAAGCCAACCAGAGCCTATTCTGTATTGTCGTCACGCCCTCTCTTCGTTGTTTGGAACAATTTACATAGTTTTCCCTTTAGAATCTGAGCACCTTTTCTCTTCTGGTTTAATTTTTTCAGTAGAGTTTGACTAACTCTCTTTGATAAGCCTGACAGTGATTCAAGCACTATGTGTATTTATATGTCTAAGTCTATATGTATACATATATTTATGTGTGTGTATATAGTATACATATGTAGACAAATCAGTACACATAGACATATAAGTACACACACACACACACACGTACACACATATATGCCAATGAGTCATGATGACTAAGAGCATGGTCTGTGGAACCAGAATACTGGGTTTGAGTTCTGAGTCTCCCACTTACTGGCTGTGTGTTCACAGCCGAGTTACTTAATCCCTCTGCTTCAGAGTTCTCATATATAAATGTGGAAATACTATGAGGCTTAAATGGGTGAAGAATTAAGACCATGTCTTGGATGAAATAGACTTCATAAATGTTGGAGGAAGAGTAGCTAGCTGTCTTTCCACTCTTACACCACAGTTCATTCAGGAACAGGAAACCCTCCTTGTGTTTCTTAGATCAAAACAAAGATTATGGTCTTTCCTAAGAGTGTGTTCTCAAAGTTCTGTGTCTACATATCTGTCATAAAGTATGGTATTGAAAATGATTTATGTGACCAGCCCCCCCCACCTTAAAACCATGTGCAGAGAAGTTAATTAAGAAGTCATGGGGATATTCCAAGTAAAAACCAATAAGGGCCAGATACAAGGCAGTGGCAGTGACAATGGAAGGGAAAGCACAGGTTTCTAGAGCTTTGGTTGGGGTTGGCAGGGGCCCAAGTGAGTGCAGAGAATGTGGAAGTCAAAGGTCCATCAAATAGGTATTTTAGACCTGGAGTTTTTTTTTTTTTTTAAGATTTTATTCATTTCTTTGAGAGAGAGCGAGACAGCACAAGAGGTGGGGAAGAGCAGAGGGAGAGGGAGAAGCAGACTCCCCTGCTGATCAGAGAGCCCATGCGGGGCTGGATCCTAGGACCCTGAGATCATGACTTCAGCTGAAGGCAGCCGCTTAACCGACGGAGCCACCCGTGAGTTCTTGACCTGGAGATTTTCTTTCTAACTTGTTTTTTCTTCTTAAATTTCTAATTGTTTGCCTAAATTTTCTAAAATTGTGTGCATTAAATGTTTTTAATGAAATTTTTGCAAAAGGGTCTTTGTATTTTGAAAAATTGAATACATTTTAGATCACTGACATTTGATAATACTGTATCTGAACTCCTCTGTCTTTGCACTCTTGGAATCACATGGCCATACCTGTTTGATAGCAGCCCAAAAGATCAAGGTGAATAAAGATAAGTCTTTGAGTTTGTATTTATTTCAGCAGTATGATTTGATCTTACTAAGAATTTTGGTTGGCAGAGCAGAGTTCGACAGGGAAATAGAGGTGGGAGACCATATATCTAACCTGAAACTTCATCAGTAAGCATTTTCAATTTTTTTTTTTTAAAGATTTTATTTATTTATTTGAGAGAGAGAATGAGATAGAGAGAGAGAGCATGAGACAGGGGAGGGTCAGAGGGAGAAGCAGACTCCCTGCTGAGCAGGGAGCCGGATGCGGGACTCGATCCTGGGACTCCAGGATCATGACCTGAGCCGAAGGCAGTTGCTTAACCAACTGAGCCACCCAGGCGCCCATCATTTTCAATTTCAAATAGAATCCACTACTGTGTTAGACACGTATTTGAAGATACTCCTCATGGGTTAACAATTTTTTATGAAGGTAAATTCAAGGGCAGGATGAATGTCTTTCTCTTGTTTTGTCTTTATATCCCGAGGATCTAGGGCAGAGCTGACATAATGAGTTTAAAAAATGTTAGTAAAGTAACAGAATACAGAGATGTGATGGTTTTTGCTTCTATATGTCTTTGGGAGGTAGTAAGGGGATATGAGCAAAATTTGATGTGAAAGAGACTTGCTTATTTTCTGTGTATCTGGGATCTGGGTAGTGGACATGTGGACATCCAAATCTTTAAGTAAACTGAGGAGGGGTTGCTGTAGCTTTCTTCTCCTAGATGGAGCTGACTTACATGGAATCAAGATCCTTGGTGCCCTTTGACTTCTCCATCTTCATTATAATCTTGTTTGTTTTCATGAAAGTAAACTCCCCTCAGCATCTGTAGGCCTATCAAAAGCTCCAACACATAAATATTAATGCATATGAGCTTTCACAGTGGCATAAGCTAACTATCCAAGAGTAGCTTACAGATGCAGGAGTATGAACATGGAATAGAAATCCTTAAGGGTGATAAACTGAAGGGACTTTCCATTGAAGTGAATAGCCCTGTAAAATACATTTCTGGTACTGTAATCTCTGAGATCTTTGAAAAATAAATCCCAATTACATGTAGGTGCTCTAGGAAGTTGTGAAGATCCACCTTTTCTCACAGTTTGGTGGTTAATTCACATTGTTGACACCTGCCTGGCTTTTGGGGTACTAAAGTCTCTATTTTAGAGACTTCAGTGGAAAACTGCAGTCAAAGGTGAAGCAATTAGAATTCCGAGTAATTTCCCTAATCCTGGAACAACAAAATGGATGTTTGGGTTATTTTCTCCTCATGAATTAGACATCCTGCTGCCTAGCCTGAAATTGAAATTCAGCTTCCACCCTCTGAAGTAAAGATTAGGCAGTCCACTTTTGCATTACTCATTGTGGTTTACTCTTCTGTCTAGGTCATCGGTTTGTTCTTTCTGTGGAAGCAATGCAAACCATTTTTTGCTTATTTTTATTTAAACAGCATTCCATGATAAGACTCTCATATATTATTTGATTTAGAATTTCATATATAACAACAGCGACCATAAGCTGAAAAGGAAAGACTCCAACTAAATGCAGATTATTAGAAAATGATTTCAACTTGGTTAACATTTCTATAATGGAAAGTGTATAGGTTTTTCAACATGCAAGATCTCAGTTCCTTACTAGCTATGAAATAAAGGTTATTTAATTCCTCTAAGTCTTCAAATGGTCTATAAGAGTTAAAGACATCAGTTGTTCACCTACTGTGTGGATACTACAGAGAAAATGATGGAAGAGATAGTGAAGGAACTCACCACATAGCAGCAAGGGAGACATACATTAAAAAAATTATCACAAAGCTATTTATTTAGAATTGCAATAGATTCTATGAAATACAATGCTTAGTGGTGGATGTAACATAGTCTTCTCTAGAAGATCATGGAAGGAGTCTTGAGGAAATGATGTTTATACTGAGATCCCAATGAGTAGAGATTAGACAAAAGTGGGGAGGAACATTCCAGGCAAAGAGCACAGCATATACAAAGGCCATGAGATATGAAGTAGCTCAGTAGATTGTAGAAACTGAAAAAAAGCTAATGTGGCTGGGGCTTAAGGAATGACAAGGAAATTATAAAGAAATGGAAGAAGAGGGCGCCTGGGTGGCTCAGATGGTTAAGCGTCTGCCTTCGCCTCGGGTCATGATCCCAGGGTCCTAGGATCGAGTCCTGCATCCGGCTCCCTGCTCCTTGGGAGCCTGCTTCTCCCTCTGCCTCTCTCTCTCTCTCTCGTCTCTCATGAATAAATCAATAAAATCTTAAAAAAAAAAAAAGAAATGGAAGAAGAGAGCCATATGGTAAATGGTCTTGTGAGTCATGTTATGGAACTTTAGATTTTTTTGTGGTACATAACATGTCACGTAATGGATGACCAAAACACAAATTTCCTACTTTTCTTTCTGCACTTGAAAAGGATAGGTATGAGTTCAGCCCCAGCTCTGCCACTAACCTTGGGTAAACTTCAATGTCCTTATTTGTAAAATGAGAATGATGGTAGTATCAGTTTTTTAGAATTATATGGGGGTAGGGAGGAGCTTGTAAAATGCTTGGGGCTGTGCCTGACACACAATACTAGGTATTAATGTCTTTGGAATATGGG